ACTGCAGCGATGTTAAAAGTATCCTTACGGGAAAATGATAACGTATTTATGTTCACATATAGTTGATATTTTCTAACATCTACCACTTTAGTCTTAAATGTATTACCTTAGTCTTAGTCTTAAATGTAATGTATTAAATATACGATTTCAATGCTTGATTCAAATTGTAAATTATTAGTATGGTTTGGTGGACATTAATGTCAAGTATATTCGAGAACCGGGTGTAGTAAAACTGGATGCGGCTATACTGTGCCAAAATCAAATATAAAAAATGTACTTTATGATATTACTTACACTAGTTTATCAATTCCAGCATCGTAATGAAATATATCTAAAGCAAACGCAAGCATAAACTATATCTAAAGTAAAGCAAGCGGACATTTTGGAGACTATTCCAAATATTCTTTGCAAGGTTATTGCTTAACGGTTATTAACTGATTTTTCAGTTGGATACCTGCAAGTGACGTCATTGTAGGTAAATCGTGACATTTGTCGATTAAGAATCCAATTATGTTCAACGCACACGCATGACGTCGCTTACAGGTATCCAATTAAATCTGATTTAAATAACATGGTTGGGCAAAATAACTTTACTTCTTCTCAAGTTGCAGATATTCAATTGATTCAGTTCATAATTTTTGCGTGACGTCATTATACTGTATTGGCAAAATGGGTCTTGGTTTGGATTTGATGGCGTCCACACACTTTTCAACTGTGTTTAAGAGTAATAGTAAGTGCGCATGCGTCGTCATTGCATGCGTTGCTATGGGGACCGCTGCTGTCTTTCTTTTCTTTTCACTAGCTGGCATTTTTAATGTATTTACATAATAATAATTTAAAGTATTTTTATATTCTTTGTTATTATTAACGTATAATTACTGTCTTGACGGTGATTTCAATATAAATATGAATACTGAAGAGGGAAAAGCATTTTGTGACGTCTTGAAACACGTACATAGGCAGGATATGAAAATTGACCAATGGGGAACCAGTGATCGTAATAAGGGAATCGCAACTTTTTTCATTTTGTAATTCATGATGCTCTTTGAGAGATTAATTTTATTATTTAATAATTATTCCTTTATCAATATTTTAAGTATATCTTTTAAAAAATTAAACTACAGTAAGAAAGATAAAATCTTTAAAATGATGAAATATAATTCACGAATTCGATTTGTGCGAACTATGGGAACATTCCTACTGATTTTTACTTTCTTTTTTTTTATCGTTCTACTTTAAATGAATCAATCAAATTTTGAATTTCTGAAAATATATCTGTGGTGCGGATGTGCTGGGCATATGTAAAAAAATTATACTAAAATACAAAAGAGTTTAATTAATGGGAAGGACTAAGAAAATTTACATTAATTAAACTCTTTTGTATTTTAGTATAATTTTTTTACATATGCCCAGCACATCCGCTCTGCAATATCTTATATAAATTTTTATTTCATAAAAAATTGACAAAAAATATTATTGAGGGAAGGATGGAAAATGTTTTGTATTAAGATAAAAAGTTTGTTTACAAAACATTTGAATTCTACACAACTTATTACAAAACGAGTACAGAATTTCTTCTCTCTTCTCGTTAGATGAAACCGATTAAACTTTTCAGTTTGTTTAGGAATGGCATCGTCAAAACAGTTTGGAGCGAGCTTCAAAAATAAAGTCAGAATTGAAGTGAAGAGATAAGTTGTATCGATGGAACAATATCGATTAATTTCTCTCTCTCTTTTCCTTTCTCTTCTTTTTTTTTTTTTTTTTTTTTTTTCTTTTTTTTTTTGTAAATATATGTGATTTTTAATAAATTTTCACTTTTTGTATAAAACGTACCCGTAGTTCAGTTGTTATTTGAATTTAAGCGTCAACCAGACAGCATTATTCAGCATTTAATTAGAAGGTTAGATAAAAAATTTGGAAATGAACATTAGAACCAACCCATTACCCATTATTAACATTAGAACTAACCCATGTGGCACCTAGTGGTAGATGTTAGAACTAGCTAGCAATGAAATTAAAGACAAAATATAAATTTAAAACATTAACTGCACAAAGCGAAGTGCTTAAAATCTTTAGTTTTAGAACTTTATACACGATATAGGGACAGGCTATTCCTTAAGATAGTTTCGAATAAATACTTAAATTTATAATGTCAAGGGGGTAAATCTGAAAAGAATTTCAATTTAATGTGTCTTACATAACTGTCGTTAATTAATGCCCGGGAAATTATACATAGCAGTTACAAACGGGGAGTCTGAATGCAATTCGACCGAACAGTGGCGTCATTAACTCATGACAATAAGCAGATGAGAATTACATTCCCATATTACAAGACTGTTCATAATTATTTGATGATTAAATTATTATGAAATAGCGAAAACGATTTCTAAGATGAAATTGTAATTCCGTTTTCATTATCACTAAATAGCTTTGATTATTAGAAAGAGTTATTTGAGCTTCTTTAAAAAAATTTAATCACTGTTTGTAGTTAAAAATATACAGGGCGTCTTGTATCGCTGCCCTTGGTATATATGTTACCGGTAAAGTATGAAATCCGGCATTATATATAATGCCTAGGCATTATATATAATATCTAAAACTAGCCGGCAAAGTAAGAAATGATTTATATTTCACACATTGCCTAAGCATTATATATAATGCCGGTTGATGATTAATGCAATGATACCTGACCTTAAAAAAATATCAGTATAGGGTATACCGGGCAAATGTATACCGGGCAGTGGCCCTTGACCTTAAAAAACCATTGCCCGGTATAGCTTACACTGATATTTTTTTAAGGTCAAGTATCATTACCCGGTATATATTTTCCCGATACTCCAAACACTGATGTTTCTTCTAATCTATCGTGTATCTATCTATCGCGTATCAGTAAGTATTAAAATATTAAATAAATGTAATTATATCCACGAATAAATTAATATCAAATCGGATGTAATAAATATTTCGGACATTCACCAAAGCGACTATGTGATTGTCAACATTCACCGGTGAAAGTCAACAACCACCGATTTCGGTCATTCACAGTAACATGCCCATTTACATAATGATCTCATCAGGGCGCTTATTTCATACTTTGCCTAAATAGTATCCGGCATTATATATAATGCCTAGGCAAAGTATATAATATTTCTCATATTTCATACTTTGCCTAAAAACGTCAGGCATTATATATAATGCCGGCATTTCATACTTTGTCGGTCACATATATAATTAGAAACTAAAAAAGCAAATAAATAAATTACCTGATTACGAGGCTCAAGTTAATACACAAGAGAGTGTATAAAATAAATAGTGAAAGTCATTTATAAGGCAAAATTTTAATTTCATTTTCATTATCTCCAAATAGTTTTATTAGAAAGAGTTATTTGCACTTTTCAGAAAAGTATTGCGCACAGTTTTAAGTCAAAATTAGGCAGGGTATTTTGTTTTTTAAAAAAAAAATTAAATTCCTTTGATTATAAAAAATTTTAATTGCTGAAACTTTCGAGCATGTTGAATCGTATTTTAATTTACTGGAATCTAAATACGATTACAAAATTAACAGCGTTTCTTTGATTTCTCTATATCATAGTTCGGCAAATTGTGGAATCAGTAGAAAAAAAGCTTTTCTTGAGCAGAAGCCAAGACACGGTTCCCAATAGAATACCGAAGAGAAGTCAAGCATCACTGGTTGCGGTCAGTAAACGTGAGGGTGACCTCTTTGATCAGCCTGCATAGAGACCAAGGGTGCGCAGTATCGGTCCTAGTTAAACTGTTCTACCTTAAAGTGTGACTTACATTTACCCCCAATTTTTTTCTGATATTTTTAAGGGTTTTAAAGACATATGTAAAATATTTGTAATTCAATTGGAGTAAACACTTCATGTTGAGAAATTTTAAAAAAAGGATTTTTTTTTTTTTAACTGGAAACGGTTATTGGCAATTTCAACTCTTCGAAAATGTCGAATTAATTCACTTGAGATTAATAACATGTTTTAATGGTGGATTGAAGTTTTTAGTTCTGTAAATAAAATAAAAATAAGATCAATGTCATAAAAAACTAGTGTTCAACTTAATGATTTGTTCATTGATTTGGTAAATGGTGTGTATTAGCGCCATTTTACTCCTTAAATATAATATAATTTTTCATGCACGAGATTTTTTTAATGTCTTAATGAATTCAATTAAACATATTACAATAAAAATAACAGCCATTTTATAAAATTTCTACTCGTGGCTTAAAATGTGTTAAACATGATTGTTTTTTTTTTTTTTTTAATTTTTATTATCGAATGTAAGCATGTGCATTTGGCACCTTTTGAATTTCCGGATATAAATGAAAATGTGAACAGTTATTATCACATATGACCATTAAAATCGTCAGAGAAGTATATGAAGTTAAAAGTTTCTGAATGACATCTAAAGTTTGGAAAACTTCGTCGATAATCAGTCTCATAACATTATCATCTCATATAATATATATTTGCCTTTCTTTCTTCTTTTTTTTAAACATTTTATTCGTATTTTAAGTAAATTTGTATGATCTTCAGAAATTAAGTTTCTAATGTTAGGTTTATAAATGAAACTATCCATTTATTTCAATATCTCCATTTATTTTTATGAGTTAAAATGCATTGTTGAAATGCAAAATAAGAATGTTTCGGTTTCTCAATAGTTGAACATTTCACAGCAGATAATCATTACATTATGTTCTAATGTCACCAATGAATATACCCACAGCTCACAAGATAAAAAAATAATTTGCCTCATTGGCAAAAAAGTAATCTTATGTCCAGAAGAGTTGACACTACCCGCCATATTCTGTGCTTCAACTAAAACGACTAAAGAAATGGTTCAACTTTTACTCCTTATTAATGTTGCAGAAAATTTGCGCGTCATTATGGTTCAAAATACCGACATAATGGCTCAATTTTGCACTGGTGTTTTTCTGAGAATCTCTAATGAAGGATGCATTTAAATGTCAATGTTTTCCTTTTCAGACAGCAAAAAATTCCAACCAATGCTGAGACAGTGTTTTCTAAGTCCACCTCCACCTGATGTGGTCATGTCTTTTGAGGGAAAAGAATTGAACCTGGACAATGAAGTCGCTCTCCCTCATGGAAGTGTGATCGAAATGAGATGTTCTGAAGTTGGAATGTACAAGTTTGTCGGTGAACCTTCCATTCGGTGCGGCAATGGACAGTGGAACGCACCTTTGCCGGTTTGCCAGCCAACTAGCATACAAAGGAATTTTTCTAGTAAGTATTCTTTGAGATGGATGTAATGCAGTGAAACCTCTCTAGAGCGACCACTCTTTATTCCACAGTAAAATGGTCGTTAATGGAGGTGGGTCATTCTTAGGGGTTACCTCCGTTGACTTCAAAATGTTATCGAAGGTATATGATTTTTTGCAAGCGATTTTAATTTTACTCAGTGTCATTTTCCTGGTGAGGAAATGCTACTTGTGTTGGCAAGGTTTCTTTGTTTGAGATGCTTAGTTTTTTAAAGTTAACTTTTTTTTTCCTAATTTAACTTCTAACTCTAAAATTAAATCATTGATTGCGTCGTAACGTAACTTAGTATGTCTTGACATCGTCGTAACTGGAAACGTCGTAACTGGCTGCAACGTAAGGTTGTGGATCTCTTTCAGCAATCGCCAAAAAGAGCTCTTTAGATAAGAACCTCACACCAATATTATGAATACATTTTAATCTACTTATTTGTTTAGTTAATATTTTATGTTTTAAAATTTTTTCGTGTTTTTTCATTTAACCTTTTTCGCACCAAATGCAGAGGTTTGCCTGGTCGCTGGAAGAGGTTTTGATGATCTCTCCAAAAGGTTTTCTTCAACACAATGTCAATGGAGAAAATACCGTGAGTCCCAAAAGTCGTCGCAGATAGAGGTGGCCTTTTCTAGAAGTTTCATTGTACACCATAAAATATTATTAAAAGCGATTAAACACTCCCGAAATAGCTAATGTTAGGATTCACAATTTCGAGACAAATGCACCTTATTGAGATTGTGGTCAGCATAGTTTATAACCCTTTTTTCGGACAAGGTAAAACAGCAGGAACAATTTTTTTTTCTTCTGTTACATGAGATTTTTTTAGCAGATCTTTAGATACTTTCGCATCGCTGATTTCAAATCTGCAATCGAATTCTCATTCCAAGCTATAGTTTTTTTTTCGATCAGTGTAGTCTATTTTTTCGAAATGTATATAAGTTTAAAGGTATTAAAGGCTCTCGATATCTCAAAGTTGTAGGAACACAAAAAAAAATTTCGAGATAGCGAGTTTTTGAGATAATGAGTTCAGAACTAAATATGTTCTAAAAAGTAGAAAAATATATTCTAAAATATCACTATAAGAAATAGAGTCATGATACATCAGAATAACTATTAATAAATATGTTTGTATTGATAGTCGACTATAAGTCTAAATACAACAATGATAATTTTATTTTCAAAAGTAAGACGAAAATAATTGTGCATTAAATAGAAAGGAATTGGTTTACAATAAATTTATATTGTGATTTTTCCGGAAAAAAATCATATTCTATTCCAAAAAAATATTGACATAACTAGATTTCGAGAAGAAACTCTTGGACATAGGAATTCAAATTAACACTAAGAGGATATATAATGCCATGTTTTTTTGACATAACAAGGTTTTCGAGATATTTAGAGTATACTGTAGATAATAGGGGGTCGCATAAATGCAGCACCAAACTTCTATGGGAGATAAGCACATCATCAGGATTAAAATTGCATAGGTATCCATGCGCGGAAATATCGTCATATGCCTCTAGGGACGCTTACCTATTTTGAAGTGCTTCTTCGTGTGTCATAAGAGGGTAGAGACCCTAACCGCGTACAATGACATTTGCATGGGTATGGGTTGCTATGCAGTTTTATTCTTGAATGATATGCTCTAACTCTCCTAGACGTTTGTCCTAATACTTATGCGACCCTCTGTTATATATAACGTTTTTAAACTTATACATTTTGACAAAAAGTAGTCTAAAAATGCCATTTAAAAAATATGTAGCTTTAGGAGCAAAACAAATTTCACATTTGAAATTTCCCACACTTGAATTAGGCAAAATCAAGTATTTCAATAAAGGCAACAAAACATCTGTTTCCCCATCAGGGTAATCATTATATCATAATAAATCAACCCTACACAATGAGACGGAAAACTGAAAGTAATATTACCAGTTCAATTAAAAAAAGGAATGTTAAAATTAATATTTTTTATTGTTCTTTGTTGCCGTTCCCCATAAATTTACATTATTAGATTAAGCAAAACACGTTTTCAGAAGTTCAACACGTCAAAATAATGATTCTTTGTTCAGTATTATTAGGTACCAAAAATAATGCTATTGCTCGGGACTAATTCAAAATTGTCAAAACTTACCACAATTAACCCCTTAACGATCGGTTAATTTCCAGGAAAAGGATCATAAAAGTGCCTATTTTTTTATTCCTGTATCCCTGATTAGTGTTGACATCTAGTTTAAAATAAGCTAACTATCTACAATTACCTTAAAAATATCCTGGTACTGCCATCTGGTGTGTAAAATGATAAATAAGATGTTTTCCGGGCAAAAAAAATGAATTAGTTTTATTCTTATTGGCGCGTTACTACTGAACACTCCAGCCCGGAAATATCACGGGAGCGAGAAATAGAGGGCGAAACCTCAGCCCTTCATTTTCACGTGAGCGAGAAGGAAGGACTTAAACAATTTCCTCCATTAATTTCGTATTTTGAATATTTTTTTTAAATTTAAATTACGAATCACTTTAAGATATTTAGATTCATAGAAATACATTTCAAAAACGTAACTATAAACAAAATAAACTGGTGGTTTCAAATAGTTTTCTAACTTATAATTCTGTGATGTCTACCTACACTGGTGATGCGTATGTTTACATGGCATAATCGATTAAAGATAAATATTTGTTAAAGGACGTGCTATCAAAAAGAGCGGTAAGCTACTAAACATCATAGATATTATCCCTTAAATATTTGAAAAAACAGAATTGTCTAAAGTTTAATTTATAATATTGCTTAAGGCTAAACATGAGGGAAAAATTCTTTATCAAACGTCTCTTCCGAATAAAGGGATGTATAAATTTCGCATTTTATTTATTTTTACATTAAATTTCGCATTTATTTATTTTTACATTAAATTTCACATTTTATTTATTTTTAAGTTATATTTTACATTCTATTTGTAATTTTTTCATTTTTGCTTTACTTTTTGATCTCTACGTTTCAGAACTGGAAGACTTATGTTTATTTCATATTTATTCTCTTAAAAATAAAGTTAAAAATATTAAGATTAAGGAAAATTTTAGACATACATCGACAAACCTAAATATTCTGTAGTTTGACTTATAAAATGCTGTTGCTGAATATGTGACCACAGTGATTATTTCTTATCGATAGAAAAAAAATTGTTTTTCTTTATTGACCGTCTGTTGACCACGACCTCCGACAAAAACTTCCAAGTTACATCAATTCCTAAACATATCTTAAAAAACCCCATCATAATATACTGACTCACGCTATCATTCGAACTATATTTATTATAAATCTGAATATGACCATAAATCTATAATCTGACACTGTATTTACTTTTATTTTCTCTGTGCAGCGGACGTGGCTCCCACTATCACTTATAACGTTGTGTCCGGAGACGCCGGAATAACGAAATCGGGGCAAGTGGTCATCCTGCCGAACTCCATCATTCATTTTGACTGTCTGCTACAACGACAGAACGGAAATCCAAGCTGGACGTGGACGGCTACTCACAGGTAAAGCATTTATCAATGGATTTCAGAAGAGGAAATAGTGGGCTATCGATTGAAAGCGAAGCCTCTGGGGAATTTTAACTCGATCGAAATTATAATATCCTTATTTGTATGCAAAGGTTGATTTGCATCTTTAGGAATTTAGCTCTGGATTGAAGTTAAGGCAGTGATGATGATTTTTGGATTAACGTTATTGGATTTTGAAGAGCTGCCAAAAATATTAGATGAAGAACAGAGAGAAGCTTTTAAACATTCCTTCTCTTTTTTTTTTTAAATTTTTTTCTGAATAATTTAAGTTATCAAAACAATTTTTCCGAAGAATTGTTTTTAAAATTATTTTCTCAAGCATATTATTTTCAAACAAGAAAAAACTTATTTTATTAATTTAGAGTTTACGTAACATATAAATTAATATAATATATATATTATTTTAGAAATAAATTTGCGCATGCTTGTTTTCTGGAGTAGTAAAAATTTAAAGTATTTAGTAAGGAAAAATGTATTAATAGCCACCGTATATATATATATATANGCAGTTTTGAAGGCTAAAGGTGGTCCTACATGTTATTAGCAGGTTGGTCATAATGTAATGGCTCTTCGGTATATATATATATATATATATATATATATAAAGTACTCCCTTGCGGCCAGGTACCCATTGCATCAACTACGTACATATAACACGAACGACTTTTATAGTTGTTCGTTTATATGTACGTAGTTTTTTTATATACGTATAGTTTTTTTTATTTAATGACTTACAAATCAAAAAAAGTGTTCATAAAATTATTTTGTGTCTTAAAAAGGTTACTAAAATAGCAATGATAGAATAGAAAAACTATTGCAAAACGGCTAAATCGGGTTAAATAATTTAAAAAAAATTGCAAGTTTGGTAACCATCTTGTTTTAAATTTGAAATTAACAAACAGCTCATAGCATATTGAGCATCTCTTTCCTACGTACAACATTTCAAATTTATTGGTTGATTTTAGATATTTTTAATCATTTATCTTATTTGATTTCAATGAAGTGATATGAAAATAGCTCCTTTGAAAAAGATAACATAGTTCCATTTAATTTCAGTAAATGTGTTCGATTGTATAGTATTTTAATTTTAAACATTACCGGTTTTTGATTTTAAACTTGAATGCAATGGAGCATTTAAAATATTTGTGTACAGTGTGCAAAATAAAAAAGAGAACTTCTTCAACACTTTTTGTTCAAGAAATAACTTTTAGCGAACCGAATTGCGATCTCAATGGTTTGAGAATCTAATCCGCACCAGTAGAATGAGAAAGAAGCTCTGCACCAGGGCCGCATACTTGGAGAATACATGTATTCTCCAAGTATGCGGCCCAAAACTCTTTAGGACGTGCACGTTCTAAAGAGATTTGGGCAGCTAGAGTTTGAAAGGCTCGTTTTACATGGTACCGTGAGCCATGAAGAGAGAATTGCAATCACTTATAGATTATTATGTTTTTGAAGTGGTTAAATATACTAATTAATTTATGCGGATGATGTTTGAAATTGCTAAATCAAACATAAAACTTTCGTTCTGTAATGATCTTGATTTTCAATAAAGTATGGAGGTTATGCCTAATTTGGAAAATACATTTAATTATATAATGTAGTTGCATCCTAGTAGTTTAATATTTGCTTGCAACAATATTTTTAATCAAAATTTTCATTTTTCAATTATTTTTTTTTTTTGGCTGAGGTAGAAAAATTACTTTTAATCTATGCAAATTAAAAAGACATGTCCTGACTAACTGACTGATTCAGTATTGCGAAGCTCAAACTACTGAAGTTCACATTTGTACAATGATTTTCTTTTATGACGTAAGCAACTACTAAGGAAGAATTAACTTTCTGATACTCCACCTCTAAGGGGTTTGAAAAACCTCCGATTTCGTTACTTTGTTGTCTTGAGTAATAATTAAAGTAGTGTTTAATAACTAGTTATACGTTAGGCAATTATTTAGATTCATTTTTTAGACTGCCTTAAGTAATAATTTAAGTAGTGCTGAATACTTATGCGTTAAGTATTATTTAGAATAATTTTGTATTTTTATGGAACTAAAAACTAAGTTAAGTAAGTATTTAGATTTATTTTTGATCCTTTCTAAAAAGGGTGTAGAAATGTTAAACATAAACAGTCCTACGTAGCCGCATATTATCATACCGATCATTGGTGACGGAGCTAGCCTTATTCGAGCAAAAGCATATATATAATACGATACTCAAGTTATGACTCGAGAGGTGCGTGAGGAAGTAGTACGGCACGTAATAAAGTATTGGGGGTGAGTTTTCTATTTTATCTCATGACAGAGATGGAAATAATTTTAATAATTCTGCCTCCTGAAATGTTCCGAAGTCATACTTACGGCTTTTTGTGGGACATATTTTAAATCATTATTGAAATTTGATACATAGATAACTTTTACAATATTGCTGACATCTCTTGAACACAGTAAAAACTGAAATCAAAGCACTTCATTACGGGCAACAACTAGTACTGTATAAATTACATTGGAATACACAACGTTTTTAATCATATGTTATCATTTATTTCTCTAGGTTCCTTGGGAGGTCAGAAAAAATATCCAAGTAATTAAAATACTGTATAAATTATTCTGGTTTACACAACTTTTTAATCAAAATTTTATAATTTATCTTTCTAGATTTTGGGGTGATTGGAAAAAACAGTATCTAAGTCGTCATAGTATTGTATAAATTATATATGCGTCCACAACGTTTTTAATCAAAATTTTATCATATATCATTCTGGGTTTTTTGAGAGGTTAAAAAAATCATTACCCGAGTAGTTATAATATTGTATAAGTTATATTGGAGGTGTACACAACGTTTTCAATCAAAATTTTATCATGCATCATTCTGGGTTTTTTGAGAGCTTAGAAAAAACAGTACCCCAGTAGTTATATTATTGTATAAGTTATATTGGTGGTGTACACAAGTTTTTAATCAAAATTGTATCATTTCTTTTCTTTGTGCTGTTGATCTGATGGTACCTTGAAAGACAGTATCCCAGTGGCTGGGCTGACGGAATAGAAGAACGTGGACTTAAGTACAGACTCTCTATTTATTATGCCAAAGATACAGATGATGGAATATTTACCTGCACAACACCAAAAGGACACTCCAATGAAGTTCATGTCAGAGTTCGAAGTAAGTCATGGTCACGGTGAATTTATGGTTAATCCTTTGACGGCACACTGGTGTCCTTTTTATCTATATTTTTTCCCCGACTCTTTAATTACAAGCAAAAATTTATTTTGATATTTTCTGTTGTTGTTGTGGCTTATCCTCCAATGCCTAACAAAGTCAGACGAGGTCCATCAGACTGTAGACCCAAAGGAAATCGAGGACCAGAAGGAGGGATAAGTTCTGGGTCAAAGAAGTCATAGGGAGGAGGTGAGATACAGCTTCTGTTGATCCGGAGATCTGAGCTTCTCTGTCTTGGAAAGAAATCTGTCTTGGCTCGTGTTGGTGTTCTTTTTCGTCTGGCACCTACCCTTCGGCCTGTCCGGCTTGGGAGACCCTACTGGTAGCAAGCTACAGCCGGCTTAGCCCTCCGGGTCATTGGTACACGCAAGACTCACCGCCCCGACAAGGCAGGAACACCATCGGGAAGATATTTTTTAGCTTTAAGGAACAGTCTAATACGAGCTAAGGTAGACAACGTTAAAGAGCACAAAAATATTATTAAAAGCAGACAGCTGTTTCGGATGCTCAAAGGGCAACCTTCATCAGTGCAACAGAAAACAATAAGAGAACAGAGTAAATATATATAGAAAGATGACGTCACAAGAGGGTTTAGACCAACGGCCAATAGGAGGGAAGGGTGAATGGAAGACGACGAATAGGAAGCAAGGAACAAAAAGGGGGGGTTAGTTAGGTTTTATCATAGATTTCCAAACAGGAGAAATATAAGGAACACTTGATAGGTCATTGACCAACAGTTTGGAATTTTTGAAAATATGATAAGACTCATAAAAATCTAAATCATATATTGAGGAACAATTTTGAATGACTTTAGAAGAGGAAAAATTAAAATTATGATTAGAGTCCCAACAATGTTGGGCAATAGATGAGCGTTTAAATTCTTGTTTTTTGACATAAGCTTCATGTTCCTTGACACGGCACTTTAAGGCACGCTTAGTTTGGCCAATATATGAAAGGCCGCATTGGCAATTAATTTGGTATATACCCCAGTTATTTTGACTGTCAATGGGCTGTTTGAGATTAGAAAATTTTATCTTATTAATGGGACTGAAAATAATATTAAAATCAAACTTCATTAGGATGTTAGCAACTTGCCGACTTATTTTAGGAAAATAGGGTAAAATTACCAAATTGTTAGAGAATTCTTTGGAAGGTTTATCGGTAGGCGATTGTTTAGTTACGTTTTTATAAATATTATCAATAATGCTAGGGGAATAACCTCTGTCATGAGCAATGGCTTTGATGTAGTTTAATTCTGCATCAAGAAGATCAATATTGAAACAAATATTAACAGCACGGTGGACAAAAGACCGAAAAGAGGCAAGTTTTTGGTTGGGAGGGTGGGCGGATCTGTAATGAGGGGGAAGAGAAACANATCGATTACATTTTTGGCCAACTCTGATCTGTAATGAGGGGGAAGAGAAACAGCAAAAGGTTTGCGAAAGACAGTAGTATGGAATGAATTATCATTCCGAGTCACAAGCACATCTAAGAAAGGAAGTTTTTGATCAGACTCTAATTCATAGGTGAACTGAATGCAAGAATCAATGCTGTTCATAACATTAAGGATTTGATCTAAATTACAATTATTTTCCTCTAACAAAGCAAAACTGTCATCAACGTATCTTTTATGAAAGGGGAAAGTTAAGATTTTGAATAGTTTACTCTCAAAATAATGCATATAGATGTCACTAAGTATAGGGCTCAAAGGATTTCCCATGGCAAGACCATTGGTCATACGGTAAAATTTTTTGTCAAACGCGAAAGTATTTTGTTGTTAACATATTCATTGACCTCATATTGGGAAAAATGATATTCCGAAAGTCTAAGTTTTAGGCATTCCAAAGCCCCCTCAACAGGAACATTAGTGAACAGTGATTTTACATCAAATGAGGCCATCAAATAACCATTAGGTTTTAGATTTTTAACTTCTTTAACAAACTCAAGAGAATTTTTGGTAGTAAAAGAATTATTACCAAGGAGAGGGGAGAAGACAGAAACTAAAAATTTTGCGAGTTTGTAAGACGAGGTAAGAATGTTGGAGACAATTGGTCTAAAAGGAGTGCCAACTTTATGTAGCTTAGGTAAAGTATAAAATCTAGCGCAATGAGAAACAGAGGGAGTCAAAACAACCTTAAGTCTATTGGGAATTAACATAGAGGATTTAATAGTTGATTTTATAACATTTAATTCTTTAGTGCTCGGATCTTTGGGAATTTCTTTATAAGGACCTTCAAGAATAAGTTGTTTAGATTTCTCCAAATAGTCTGTTTTGTTTAGAAGAACAATTTGACCACCTTTGTCAGCTTTGGTAACGATTAAGTTGGGATTGGACTTTATATCTTTAAGAATTACTTTAGAGGAAAGGCTAAGGTTTGAATTAGATATTTTTGAGTTGAAGTCTACGGTATTGGCAATAAGGTGTCTGATAGAATCTTTTTGAGCATCATTAATTTTACTGAATTTAAAAGATCTTTCTATAGATCTTTAAAAGATCTTTCTATTTAAAAGATCTTTCTATCACCTGTGAACAGTCTAATAGTTACTAAAAAATCTGGTAAATTATCGTAATTCCACTTGTACTAATACTTGTACTACTTGCACCAAATCAGAGAAAAAATATTATTTTAATTTTTTTTCATTCATGTTTAAACATTTAATAATAAATGATTTTATAAGATAAATAAATTTTAATGACGAATAACTGTTTCTCTTAAATATAAATAACTGCAAACGAATGCAAATTTGAAAAATTATTTTTTGGATGTGAACCATGTTTGGAAGATTTCAACTTTAATGCAAATTTAGACACCAGTGTTTTATGCTGTATTTCATAACCATAAAGTATTAAAATGCTAAATTTATTATTTTTCACTTATTCTGACCCAAATCAAAACAAAATAAAGAGAAAGGTATGAAAAATAAGTTTCATAAAAATTCTGCTTCAAAGGGTTAAAAAAAAAAAAAACGTGTTCTCTCTTATGGTTAAAAACGTGAAGGGAATTTCAATCTAACCTTACGAACCATACTATTTTAGTTATCGTCAAACATAAGAATATTATTTTCGATCGAAAATTTCAATCCAATTACTTGGGTAAACGTGTTGGAGCTTGTTTAAGGAAAATGTAAAAGTTTCAACAATAGTTTTATTAATAGCGTTTTTATTAGGAAAATACGGCACAAAACTTTAAAATTCTTTATCTAAATAAAATAGGTAGTTGCGGACGCAAAAAATATCCGATTAGTTTAAATATACATTTATTATTACATTTTTAATTATGTGTGTCTATATAACATAATTACTATTTTGCAAATATTTGTGCCAATATGTTGAAGTAAAAATAAAGATATGCATAAAAAAAAGTTAGACACCTCTGTTCTTATCGCTTATAAAAAAAACATGAAGCCAATTTCACCAACACTTTGGATCGTCACTATATTCTGGTTTACATGTAACGTACACACACCGGCTCACCGTCTATTGATAGCACACATGTATGTATCTATCAAATACAAAAATATCGTGATCATTATTGATAACTATAATTATCTAATATGATAATGTCGAGATTGTTATAAATAACATGACGTATTTTACATAACGATAATTATTAAATAAACTATCATTGTTAGTGATGATTAATTTCATTTTGGTAGCAAAAATATTAATCATTGGGAATATAATATAAACTGGTTAAATTGGAAAAAATATCGCGATACGTTGGTAAAATATCGATATTTTTTTAGAATATCAGTCGCATCACTTGGTACTTAATTTTCACGTTGACGACCACGTGCAAAAGTCGTCATTTTGTGAATTTTCTTTTTTGAATCAAAGTATGTGCGATTTATTTATATAACGTTACGTTAAGTAATACACGATTATTTAATGTGTTATAAGAACACCCATATACATCACTGAATTTTTTTTTATTATTTAATATTTTACCTATGTTAAAATAAGTTTGGAAGTGGTTCAAATTTAAATATTTACTCATTTCTGTATGGGTTTATAAGTTGTGTTAGTATTTTATCTACTTCTTTATAATCAATAACTATATGAGAATGAATTCGGAAGTCACCAAAAGGAATTTGGCGCTGTGTTGGCGCAAATGGTTGAAGGGGAAATACGTCAGTAAAGACTAAATGTTTATGCTAAGCGTCAGATTTTGGTGAAAATTTGTCGAAATGTGTTATTGACACTTTTGCACATTTGGAAAAAATTGATTAAATGTGTTACCGGAAACCGTGGTGGCACAGGAGTTAAGTGTTCGCCTATCTTTGAGGTGACCCAGGATCGAATTCCGGCTGGGACTGGTTGATACGAATTCGGCCCCCTTCTCGCACCGACGGCAGAGCTCTGGTGTGAAATATCCTCAGTGGAAGAAAGGTTAGAATCCCCATGCCGTTGAACCCGTGGATAGTTTTTATGGTTTCTCTCTAAATATAACGCAGGGCCGGGATAGCTTGGATGGTAGGGAACTGGACCCATGTCCAATTGGTCGTGTGTTCGATCCCTGTCGACCTAAGACTCTCCGTGTAGTAAATGGTGAATGGTGCACGTTAAATCTGTTGAGTCACTAAGTCCTCCATGTTCCCATAACAAATTAAAACCTCTGGGGGTACTGATTCATGAGTTCCTTTGTCTTCTGGAATGGTTCAAAATTACAAGGCTATGGAGTTGAGCATTAGTAGTCGTAAACCCAAACATTGGGTCGGCTGTTCAACGACGGTTATAAAATAAAATTAATATAACGCAAATGTGGGTTCGTTCAATCAAAAAAATTCCTCCACGAAAACTAGTTTGTCCTAATGCATGATCCAGGAATTTCCCCTGGCTTGTGTTCAAAATTACATGGTGAACATTGATAGACGCAAACTCAAAACTAAATCGGCTGTTCAACGCCAATTACAAATATGTTACGATTGTTTAATTCTTAACCCCAGCTTTTATTGAAATAAGTTACTTAAGAAGTCAACATCGGAAAACACGGCAAGCTTTTTTAATTTTAAAAATTGCATTAAAAAGTTACTATTTGTTAAATAATAAAGCTTTCCTTATAATTCACTTACAAGCATTCGCTTTTTAAACCTTAATTGATCAAAAATATATTTTAGCACTTTTATATTTATAAAATTTATTATTAAAATAAGTTTGAAAAGAAAATTTAATCTACAATGACATCTTCTCGGAAATGAAAAACAAAAAATTCAAAAGAATCTATAACTATGGCAAAGTGGGATTCTGCATTTATTTTAGAGAATTAATACTGTTTTATTTATAGCCACTTAAGGCAGAATTAGACGTTGGTAGATGACGCTCATAAGTTATGACGCAACTCCCAATGCATTTCTGAGATTTTTAATAGAACTTGAAAATAAAGTACTTTTTTTCTTGGCTGCTAAGAAAAAAAATAAAATATTTATGTCGAGGAAAAATGTGAAAAACGCGATGACATTTAAGTAAATCTTATATACTTCCAGATTGCTTCGAGTTTCTGAACAATAAAATTTTTCAGGATTTATTTAGAGCAATTTGTTCTAAAACATTATTTTTCCTTGGGATTTAAATTTTCTTTTAAGTAATTACCTAAGAGAAATTTTATTCAATTTCTCAAAATTTATTGTCCGGGAAAGTCTAATTTGTCCAGATTCATACGAATTTAGTGAAAGCAGAATATTAAAAAAAAAATTTAAACAAAATCAAAGTACTACCGTATTAATGTAGATCATATTAATGACCTCCATATTAATGTAGACTCCCACTCAATAAATTGACAATTAATTGCGTTTTACCCATTTTAATTTGCCAATCAATTTAATTTACTTCTTAATTTTAAATTCCCTCCAGGCAAATTCTAAATTCTTATACATTGCTAATCTGCTGAGCACTAAATGTACTACAGTGTGTCAAATAAAAAAACGGACCACCCTGAATAACTTTTGATCTAATGATCGGATCTTTACGTTCTGTAACTCAATATGAATGGTTCGAGACGGCGACCTCAAATATGCTAATTAATTAGTGCAGACTATATCTTAAGTTACGAAATCAGACTCAAAAACGTACTTTCTCTTAATTAACATTCAACTCAACCTTTTTTCCTCAACTTTTTTTCTCATTAACTCAACCTTTTTTCCTTCAGATTCCAATTTCTGATCCATAAAATATAGGTGATAGCCGCAATCTGGTAAATATTGGCTATTGGGAGCACATATGCGCCCAGCGAAAACCATGGGTGTATCCTATGGGTCTATATGTAAGGTGTAGCCATCTGTGTAGATTTTCGATGTAAAGGCATACTTGGCAAAAGCATTGGTGTTTAGTCTGTCTTAAGTGTATGTTAGAAATTAGTTTCTCTTGTTAATGTACAACACTCGCAATAGTAATCTTATTTCTCGTTGCTTAGCAACGAAAATTAATTTGTCAAATATTCAAAAACCGAATGCATGCGCATTATAACAATCAAATCTCGTTTTAATATTTAAAAGTCTGTAAATAAACAATATATAATGAACATACAAAATGTTTGTTCAGTTTTTGGAGTTAATAAAGTAGTAATAGCATTTGGATTATGTGTAATGTTTTAATTACCCCATCTACAAAATCAATATTGCGTGAAAAAAGTGTACTGTCCAAAGCTAGGAGCAGTTAGCAATCAAAGGGTTAAAAATTAATCACACCAAATATTTAATTGAATTTGTTCAATCAGGTACAAACAAAATTAGCGTTTTCTGAATTATTTAACTTCACCCTCCTCAAAAAAATTAAGATACATATATAAATATACAAATATCTAGCTCAAAGAAATATATCTAGCTCAAAGTCGCCCTGTCTGGAGGCAACTAATTAAGAAAGCCTTGGCCTGCACTAGGCTGTAGTGGTGACGAAGAAGAAGAAGAGAATATAAATATGCAGGAGCCTTCCAAACTTTAATATCTTGTATAAAAATGTAATTCGTTTTTTTCCCTCCGTCTGTGTCACATAACGGATGTGAGGATACCGTATCATTTGATCCGTGTCGTAACTTTAAATGTAGCTTTATTTCATTATCTATTTTTTGTTCTGTTTTTGTATTATTTTATATTTACTTTCTTCAATTTTGCGAAATTGGAGTGTGTAAAGATTGCAGCAGCTACAGCTCAAATACAATACGCAATACTCAAATACAATAAATCTGCAACAATGGAATTTCGTATTTTTGATTTCTACACCCGAACTGCGTGACGCCGGAAAGTGGTGATTGCTTATTAACTTCCCCATGCAATATGTATAGCAATATGTATTAATAAAACATACAATGGAAAGAAAAAAAACCTGATCCAAATCCCAAATCTGTGCTCTTGTTCTCTAGTTATTAACGATACATACTATCATAATACTTTTACAACCGACTAAAATGCGTCCCATAAAATTTTATTTGTTTAATCTCAAAATAATCTGCACAAATTTAAATCAAAATGTTTTAAATATAAAAATTTGTATCGAAACACATTTTCCATTAAATTTCTATGTAAGTTGTTTTCAACCTTAGAAATATACTTACAGTAAAAGAGATTTTCATGATATTTTGTAGTTTAAATATGCGTATTATATAGAAGTCTTTTTTCGTAAAATGACTGTTTTATTCCGATTACAAATGGTATGAAATTTTTAGTTTCATATTCATAACTTACACATTAACTTTACAGAAACTATAAAATTTAAAATTTATAAACTTGCTATTAAATGGGCTGACAGACTGTTCACAATGTGTTTCTACTTTAAAAACGTTTTGGTTCAGTCACAATTTTATTCATTCTAAAATAAATGGAAAGTAAGTAAACAAAATACAACTTGAAAATATTTTTAAAAGAAAAATTCTTGAAGAAAACATTTTCTGTTATAAAAATGAAGTGTATAAGAAAAAGTTTTTAAAAAAATGAAACACGTCAAAGTAGAAGTTGCCGTTTGTTTATGGAGCTAATATCGTTCTATTTATTGAATGCTATATAAAGTTCTGTGTTTTGAGATTGTGCCCAATGCCCATAATTTTGAAAAATATGTCAGTATGGAATAAAAGAAAAACGACGCGTTTTTAGGTAGTTCTAAGTCAAAACTTTGATAAGATATATAAGTAACTGAAACTGCATAATGATAATAACTGCGTTTATTTACTTCTGAAGGAATTCTTGAAACTTTATGTAAGTATCAACAAAATAAATTTTTTTGGCTAGTAAAAATTTTGAAATAAAAATATAGTACTGGTTAGCTTAGTTTGTGTTGGCGACTAGTTTTTTCAAATTGTCTTAGTCTCCATAACCAATAAGTGCAAATTTTTATATCACCATGTATAGCTGAAAATATATCGAAAATTATCGATTTGTCGCGACATTTTTCAATTTAACTGTTTTATATTTTTACATTGCTCAAAATATTCGTTACCCAAATAAAATTTATCAGCTTCACCATAATATCGTATTAAATAATTATGGTTTTGTATAATATTCGCGATATTATCGTCTTGAATGTTACGCTCTCGATAATTATCGCGATAGTATCGTAGTGGATACTTGTAGATATCAGTAACGATCACGATACTATCGTACTCAAATTACATTATTATCATTAATGATCGTGACATTGTAGTATTTGATTCACCTATGTGTATTGATTCACTATGTAAGTGTTAACTAGGATCTGACATTGTTCTTACGAGTTGGTAAATTTGGTTTCATGGTTCTTATAACCTATAAAAACATTAAAAATAAAATAAATTTATTTTAAAAACAAAATTTAAATGCAATGGTGAAAAATTCTGATAGACTAGGGGGCACCCGGATAGCTACCGTTCACCAACCCCGATGATTGTTTCCCAATAATTGTTTTTTCTTGGCATAAAACAGTTTTTCTTTTACCGAAATTGAAACTATTCATTAAAATACGTGTACTAAAAAGAATATTAAGATCTATTCCAGATCTAATAACTCTATTACGATCTATTACTGAACATAAATAATTTTTCCAAGTAATCGTTTATTAAAATAACATTTAAAATTAAAAGTATATTGTTATAACTTAAGACCTAGATTATCTACGTATTCAAGGGTTTAGTTATAATATATCTGATGAGTTAACAATCATCAATTATTTTTGCTTACCTATTATTAAATATATTTTTTGCCATTGTATTAAAATTGCTATTAACGTCTCAATTAAACAGCTTAGTGAATAAAGCAGGTAAGCGTTATTTATTTCAGGGGTATTTTTTAATCGGGAAAAATAACAAAAAGTGGTCGCATCAATATGGATATGTTTAATGCAACAGAATGGTTTTTGCTTTCACTTTAACATAACTAATCCACATTAGTTTTGAATATGTCGACCAGGGTGGCCGAGTGGTTAGCGTGCCTGACTGCGGAGCCGATGGTTGTGGGTTCGAATGCGCGCAGGGCATGGATGTTTCGTTCTCTCTCACTGTATCTCTATGTCCTTTCATCTGTGTGATTGTGTGTGAATGTAACCCGCCCTATAAACGGGTTTGTGGTTGTATGACGTGGGAGACGTTACTCCACCGCCATGGCTTAGCCATAGGTGCCCACTGGGTAGCGATAAGAGAGTAGCAATTCTGGCATTTCTGAGGCCAATGGGAAATGAACCCAAGTGCCCGCCATTAACCAAAAAAAAAATTATTTGTTTTTAATATGCTTGTATGATTTTTATGCCAAATCAGGTTGTAGCAAAAATAAGGCAAGGAAGTATTTGCAATGCCTTATAATAAATCTGCAATAAATTAATTCGGATGCCTCTTTTTTTTCACACTTTGATTACAGCCCCTTTGAAATAGTCACTTACCTGGTTTATCCACTAAGCTCTTCAACTATTCCAACCTTTTTTTAAGGTTAATAAAACGTTTTTATTTAAATTAATTAAGTCTTTTTTTCTCCATTGTTCAGAAGTCCAATGTCCAACCATAGATTCTTTGGATCGTAATCGTGTGATGGCCGTTGAAGGTAATAAAATGCACAGTCAAGCAAGGTTTGCGTGTATGGAAGGATTCAATCTGATTGGACCAGAAGAAATCACGTGCACCGCATCCGGAACTTGGTCTGATTCACCACCATATTGTGAAGGTTAGATTTTCTTTAAAATATACTCTTCCTATATATCCAACCGTAGTGGCTGGGTGGTGCAGTTGGTTTGTCGTCGGCCTTCTGAGCCCAAGTCTGCGGATGATTATGCGGCATGTAAAAGATCCCTGGAGTGCCTTATTGGCTCTTGGCAAAATTTAATTCTTAGTGCACTTAAGCATCCAAATAGAGTCTCGGTGCTGCCATCTAGTGTGGCAGAAACTAGACGTCCTAATTAGCATGACCAACGGTGTCTCACCCATTGTGGTGGTCCTGAAATAGTGGATACCACCTCTGGAGAACGCACTAGGTCGGCAAAACCAATTGTGCAGCTCATTGGAAATAAAAAAATATATCCAACTGTTAAGTTATATTTTTACTACCAATTAAGTTTCAATACAGCCGTTTTAGTGCAAATTCTAATGATTATAAGGACAATTAAAACCCTCTTCCAATTACCGTAACCCCACGAAGACCATGATCACATATACGTGATCACGTGACTATCTCGTCACGACCCACAGTATCATACATGAAACGAGCCTTTCTGATTCTAGCGGCCCACGATCACAGGGACGTAATCTCAATACGGTATGCTCGTATTAGTACTCCTTCGTACGTACACAGCCGAGGCATGCAGGACTGGAGAAACGCTTCTTTTTCCTTCGTCCAATCCTGCAGAGGTCAAATAAACATAGAAAATATTACAATAATCCCTCATACAATAATTCAAATATGTAAACTGTTTCAAAAGCAACGCCTTTAATTTACATTTTTTAGAATTTTCGTCAAAAATGAAGTCAAAATAGTATGCACAGTAAGGGGTCGCCAACTAATATTTAAGGCCTGGATAAAACAAAAACGAAATTGAAATCTTGTGAGAATGACTGAATGAAAACAACCAAGAACAATTTAACTGTTTGATGGAACAGAAAGAATTTTTCAACCAATTATTTGAAATACCATTAAGTTTCATCAGACAAACAAATCGATTTTGATTATTTTCATACTGTCTTTCTCGCTGACTGAGATTCTGTTTCCTCGTCGCTAAAAATTTTGATTAGTGACCCCGACTGTGAGTATCTTTTTCTTTTAACAAGCATTCTTAAAATATACATTAAGGGCGGTAGTTACGGAGCACCCATTAATGTATCTTATCCTTTTAAAATCTTCATATCCAGCAACACTTTCATTAATCGATATAAGTATCGATGTTCAAAGATTATTTTAAATATTCACAGCACCTCATATCTTTGTGTTTACAAGTAACTGAAACACTTCTATTGACGTAGAAGTAGTTTACAGTTGATGCAAAATGCCCCTTTATGCACACACACACACATATAAAGCGCACTCGGAAATGTAACTGCGCAATCAAACCCGCCAAAATGGGAGGCGAATTGCATTATTTAAACACTGGCCGTGTAGACATAATCAATTTAATCGCGGAGCTTACATTTTCATGGCCATAAATTTGTAATATGTTTAATCTAACAATCAATTGTGCGACATTCAGACTCATTTGAAGCGAGATGATATTTGTTATGGCTGATTTGAATTAAGAGTTGCAAAGTTGAAGTACAGAGAAAATCTGTAATTCATACTTTATGTACAAATATGTGTTTATTTCTTAAATAAAAAATGAATGCCGAGTTTCAAATTTTGTGCAGTTAACAACTGTAGAATGAATCATAGCCAACCTAAATGTACGATACTGGCGAAATTATTATAATAGTGAAGCTCGTTTGATTCGAGCTGTTATTTAACGAGAAATTTTTTAATATATGGCTCTTTTAATGATTAAAAAAACCTCTAAAATGCTCTGTTTATAAAACTCTTTCTTATAGATCACTGTTTAGTGATTTATATGATCAGTTTATGTTGTGCCCATTGAGTTTATATAGTACCATGGGTGATCCATAAAGCTTAGATAGTTTAAGTTTACTTGATATAGGACCAATGTAGAAAATATGCTTATGGATCTATTACTACGCCCTAACTGTATTTTAGATTACTATTTAGTGATTTATATGGTCAGTTTATGCTGTGCCTATAGTTAATATAGTACCATGAGTAATCCATAAAGCTTTGGCAGTTTCAGTTTACTTGATATAGGCTAAAAGTAGGAAAATAGGCTTATGGGTCTATTACTACACTCTTACTCACGTTCTAACTCTATTATAGATCACTGATTAGTGATTTATATGGTTAGTTCGTGTTGTGCCCGTAGATAGTTTACATTGTACCATGGGTGATCTATAAAGCTTTGGCATTCTAGTTTGCTTGATATGGGGCAAAAGTAGGAAAATTACTTAAGGGTCTATTACTATGCTATTACTTACGCCCTAACTGTATTTTAGATTTTTGTTTAGTGATTTATATGGTTAGTTTGTGTTGTGCCCGTAGATGATTTACGTAGTACCATGGGTGATCCATAAAGCTTTGGCAGTTTTAGTTTACTTGATATGGGGCGAAAGTAGGAAATTACGCCTATGGTTCATTTGTAGCATTTTTAACAGCGGTCACTTTTTCAAACAATTGGGCATTTTTTTTTTTTAAATTTAAGCGATTAAAAAATTTATTTTAATAGTTTAAAGAATTTCTCTTGAAGTATTCTCCTAAAAATGGTAAACATTATAAGGTTCCTTTCTAAAGTGATGAGAAATTTTAAGAAACAAGCGTGTGAGGTATGATTTTTAAAATATTATAATATATTCGTGGCATCATAAACTTTGGTACTTCTCTATCTACTCTATAATAATTATTTATTTTGTTAGGTTGTCTTAATATTTTAAATAGTGTTAAAAAAATTAGTCATACCTTAATTATTTATTTAGATTCATTTTGTTTGGCTGTCAAAAGGTTCCTTTACTATAATTCAGGGGATCTAGGTTAAGTAATAATTTAAATAGAGTCGAATAGTTAGAAAGTATTTATTTAAAATATTTTTCTATTTTTACAGAATTAAAATCATAGTTACGAAGTAATTAGAGTTATATTTGATCCTTCCTAAAATAGCTGTAAAAATATTAAACATGGACAGTGCTATGGTGCCGCATACTGTTTTTTTCCTGTCAGAACGATGGTAAAATTAGCTTTTAAGTTTTAACCATCATAAAACTTATCTTTGATGGTCTTTTTATAGCAAAAAAAATGTTCTTGTATTTCCTATTTTATTGAAAAAGTTCAATGGTTGTCTTTTTACAGTAATACAGTGTCCACCTCTCGTTCTGGAAGACACCCATTTAAGAGTGGAGGCTCACAACCGGACATATGGGTCCAGAGTTATGTTTTCATGTCCGACAGGATATAGACTCGTGGGTTTACCAGTAATAATCTGCCTTAAGAATCAAACCTGGTCAAACTCAACACCATACTGTGAAGGTACTTTTTTTACTTTCATTATTTTCAGTTCTGTAAGAATTCGAAGAAAAAAAATTATATCGTTGATTTACCACCACCTACAGTTTCAATATAGAAGCATCGTTCAGTGTGACTGTGATTGGTTGAGAGTTAAAGTTTGCCAAAAAGAAACGAAACATAGTTTTTCTCGTGATACGGCATCAAGCCTCTTTATCTTTATGCGGCAGAATCATAGATATTCTTTTCCTTGATTTAAAAATTAATCTTAACCTGTTCAAAAATTTTTATATTCAATAATTAGCTTTAAATATCAGAGTATCTTGTGAAAGAATTAGCTTTCGTAAATTACAATATCTATATTTGGCCCTTTGATAAAATTATCTATTTTATTATATGCGAAATGAGCAGTTAATTTGCTTATAAAAAAATTTTCATACATAAATTATTTCTAGTAGAAAAATTTGAAGCTAAATTTTTTGAATAAAAATAAAACGTGAATAGAGGTGGCTTAGAGTCCCCTTGCCGTCGGGGTAACCGTGAGAGGTTTTCCTCTCTATGTAACGCAAAATCAGATAAGTTTCATCACAAAGCCCACCACGAAGGTAAATTTTTCCCAATGCTTGATCCAGGAGTTCCCTTGTCTTCTGGAGTGGGTTCATAATTACTTGACTACGGAGTTGAACATTAGTAGTCGTACACCCAAAAAAAATTGGGTCAGCTGTTTAATGACGGTTATAAAATAAAATGGGTTAATGAGCTAAATCAATTAATTAATAGTTTACCTATAGCGCAATCATGCGTTTCTTCGCAAATTCTGCAAAGCACAAAACACGTCTTTGAATCTTGAAAATGCAGTGTTTAAAAAATTTCACTTAAATCGTTTTTTCATGAAGATCTTTAATAACTCGAAATTAGGTATTAAAACATTTTAACCCGATAATAATTACCTATTTGAATTCTATTTTTTTCTTCTTTTTATCGTTTTTCTATTCAATTTTTTTTCGATACTCTACAAAATTACGTCATATTTATTTTTGTAAAAAGTTAGTCCAGCTTCTTAAAACTTCAATTATTTTTTCTTCATCCTGTGATACAAAACTACAAGAAAATATGTCTTATATATCACGAAAAAAAAACATTTTTTTTTCGAAAGCAGAAAATAAACACTAGTTCAACTATTCGAAGCAAATAGGAGAAGTTTTTAGCAATAGTATATTAGTATCGATCTTTCAAAATGAAAAAAGTTCCGAATCCAATAAGAACTTTTAAAAACAGAACTTCTTTTTGTAAATATATTGCTAAAATATGTCAGTTGCACTCGCGACTACGGTTCGGAAATTCTGCCTTAAGGTTTTTGCAATCATTAAAACTAACTTCAGCGAAGAATCTGAAAGCGACTTTAAGAACGTAAAAAACATTTCCCAGTTCCTTTTAACTAGTGATAGCTTAAGATTCGTTTTCAAACTAGAAAAAACTTAGTAATCAAACACAGTTTGAAAAAAAAAAGTTTCAGATTGTTGGTGTAAAAATGTTTTTCTCCGTTTATTTTCATTGGAAAAATCATTACAAACAATTTATCGAAAACTTAGATTGCATTATACTATAATTTAAATAATAAGATTTAATTATTTATATTTTTATACCACTGAAAAAAAAACATTTGTAAAGAAAAAAAATTTTTTTTTTTAAACTCTGCGCACTGCTTAAAACTAGCTGGCAAAGTATGAAATGATTTATATTTCACACATTGCCCAGGCAATATATATAATGTCGGATGCTATTTAGGCAAAGTATGAAATAAACGTCCTGATGAGGTTATTATGTAAATGATGTGCATGTTACTGTGAATGATCGAAATCGGCGGTTGTTGACTCCAAACATCACTGATGTTTCTTCTAATCTATCGTCAGTAAGTATTAAAATATCGAATAAATGTAATTATATCCACGAATAAATTAATATCACTTCGGATGTAATAAATATTTCGGACATTCACCAAAGCGACTATGTGATTGTCAACATTCACCGGTGAAAGTCAACAACCACCGATTTCGATCATTCACAGTAACATGAACATCATTTACATAATAACCTCATCAGGACGTTTATTTCATACTTTGCCTAAATAGCATCCGTTCCTTTCATTTATTAAATACTAGGTATCTCGAAAAGAATCAATTCAGATTACCAGAATTAGATAGAAATGTTCGGCTTGCTAAGCTCTAATCGGGAAGCGAGTGATTTTTTCTCAGAAAGTTTCAAGATTAATTACACTGTTTATCAACAGATGGCGTTGCTGACTGCCAGAAATATGGAATTTGCTCTACTCCAGCCTGTCTAACCATTTTAACAAAAAAGTTTCCAAGGGTGTCAGTTGATATTGTACTGCGTTTTCATTTTGTCTTAATCACATCAGTCTTAACAGCAAAGAGAAATTCTTCGATTATGATTCGTCAGATTTTTGATAACGCTTTTTTCTTTTCTTGCTTAAATATTAATTTACGATGTTTGATTTTTTACATTTTTAACAATGTTTTAAAAATATATATTTTAAGGTCGTCCGTTTCGCAACATCTTGTACTCAGAATGCTACGTAAAGCACATGAGTTGTGCAGTGAGCACATGCGCCTGTGTAATAATAGGATCATCATTCAGGATCCATAATCAATAAGGATCATTATTTTTAAATATTAATCGCAAACCATTCCGAAGTAGGATCAATCTCACATCAACAATCTCGACGACCAAACCGTATGCTTAGAATTTTTGTCAAAATAAAGTGAGATAACACACACAGTTTAAAGGCTGCAAGTTAATATTTAAGATCAAAAACATTTATCAAAAGCTGACAAATTGATCTACAAAAATAGCTCGCTTAAAAGCATGGATACTTTTTTGATTGCTGGAGAAATCTGAGAAGAGCTGTTTCTCTGCGTGTGAAATGCCTTCACTCATAATTCATTACTAATGGCGCCTTGTATCAATAATAATTCACCAAATTTTTACTTTTTCTTACTTAAACATCAATTTGCAATCTGTAATGTGCTTTTTTTTATTTCATTTTTAAGAAGGGTTCCAAAAATACAGAACATCCAGCATATATAAGTTACTAATATTATTGATTTGTCGAGTTGCGTGCCAAGCCTGATAATCCTCTGATTGATAATTTAAAGCCGGATGTGTCCCTGATAATTTGATTTGTAATGAAAAAAGGCTTACTTTTTAGTTTATTTCTTAGCCTTTGAATGTGAACCATCTTTAGTCACAGACAATGGAAAGTGCTTACATTTAAGTTTATTTTTAGAGCCATTGAATGTGAGCCACCTTTAGCTCCAAGCAATGGCATGCTGTTTACATGTAAGTTTGATTTTTCAGCCATTGAATGTGAGCCACCTTTAGCTCCAAACAATGGAAGAGTGTTGGATACTGGAAGATATTTAACAGGCGATTTTCTTCAGTTCACATGCAATGCTGGATTCGTTATTGTTGGAGAATCCATAACCGTGTGCGATGATAAGGGAGAATGGACATTTTCACCACCCATATGTGAGCATAATACGCTTTTTTTCTTTGTAAAAAAAATTTTTTTTACAATATTTTTTTAAATAGAATGTGGATTGTAAAATTCCATTTTACAAGCGAAATAGCCATAAAAAAATAACCATACAGCCCGTTGCTTCGATATTTAATTCATAGTCAAGTCAGGTTAATTAGAGATCTTCCAAACTTTATTTTAAATTGAAATATTTTTCCATGTTATTAATAATTTACCTAAATACAAAAAGTCATTGTTCTAAAATAAGAAATATAAAATAAGTTGCTTACTAATAAGCTTTCTGAACAGTGTAGTAAAAAAAGTGCCTTGGTAAAATAAAGTTACCATTGGTCTCATAAAGAAATTACTTACAGTTTTATATGCTGCCATTAGCTCTCTAATTTCAGCATGAAAGAGTCCATGACAATATTTAATTCTTATATAGAACTGACACCAAGTAAAACTGATGATTCTCAAAATGTACAGTGCACAAAAAAATATAAATAAATAAATAAAGTGCTCGTCACCCAATGAGGTGGCCCAGGTTGATACGAAATTTGCTACGACCGCAATGCTAACATAAGATATCCTCAGTAGTAGATGGATCATGTGTTGAAATTCTCTCGCCATCGTCTTAATCGGAAAAGGTTTTCGTAGTTTTTTTCTCCAAGCAACACAAATACGGGTTAGATCCGTCAAAAAAGCCATCAGAAGGGCTAGTTTGTCTTAATGCTTGATCCACGAGTTCCCTTGTCTTCTGGGTGGGGTTCAAAACTACAAGGCTACGGAGTAGAACATTGATAGTCGTAAACTCAGAATTGGGTTGGTTGTATCAACACCGGCTAAAAAACAATATAAAAAGTACCAATATTTCGGTCGAAAATAAAATGCAGTGTAACTGTATTTGCCTATCAAGCACTAGTAATCAAATCGTGCGTGAAGATCTTTATCCCGTTACAAATTAAGTCAGTTTAAAATTTTCTTAATCATACACAGTTAAACCTACTTACTACTTTAATTTTGAGTTTTCCAATCTTCGAACTGAGCAGAATTTAGTTTGACAAATAAAAATGTATCCTATAAATTGTAGAAAAATATTTCTACTTCATAAAGGGCAATAATTGTAAAAATTATTATTATTATTTTTAAAGTTCTACATAGCTTTTAAAGTTGATGAAAATGACATTTATTATGTTCTACCACGACAATTATTTTCAGGTAAACCAGCATGTGAATTTCCGGGTGAGCCAGCCCACGGACATGTGGTTCCCACCAAGTTTCACTATGACATAGGGGAAATTGTGACAGTGGAATGCTTACAAGGATTTAGAGTTCTAGGAGCCGCTTATCTACGTTGTACTTCCACTGGACACTGGTCAAGTCCCTTAGCACACTGTAGACCAGCTCATCAGCATTCATGATGGTTTGATGAATCATCAGAATAATCAACTTCAACTCAAATATTTCACAAAGGCTTGTGGTTTTTGTGATGGTGTTTTTGGTTTCGAGATAGGGCGCCATTAAATCGCTTCTCAAATTAGGCAGGAAAAAAAGATAAGGTAATAACGATATAATTATAAGGTATTACGAATTTAATATGATGCCACCAGATTCTCATACAAATCGTATGTATTTTATTGTATTTAAGGAAATCTATTTTATTTTAATACTTTTCCCCTGGGGTTGCTGTCAACACCCCCCCCCCTCTCACTTGTTTCTTATCACCCTTTTTTATTATTTTGTTAGAGCTTGTTCTTCTTTCCTGATTGGTTAAGTCACTTAGCACTAATTTATTGTTTTGCTTTTCTAATGTCATTTGGAGTTCTAAGGAAGGACATCCAAAGAATATAAACTACAGTATGTTTATTTTTGTACTTAATTCACATTGTTTTTCACTTTAATATTGTATTTCTACAAAACATTTTAAACAAAATAAAAATTTTACTTGAGTATTATTCACAAAAAAGAATTAAATACTAAATTTCGTAAAACTTTAGTTGTGGCTGAAGTGTTAAAGCTGGTTTTCCCCATAGAAAGAAATCTAAATAGCAAAAACATTTGTATTTAATATACTGTTCAACAGTGATGTTTTTCTACTGTTAATAAATATATAGAAATTTTCCAGCATACCACTGGTAAACATAACATTCTAATATTTTTTGGTTAGTTTTATGGTTTATCGAAATTTAACAATGGAATTTTATTTTAATAAAAACAAATTAAAACTAGTGATTACTAATAAATATATCTGTACAATTTTAGTGTTGTTTTTTTTTTTTTCAATGACAGATTTGTCACAATATAGATTTTTAAAGTCTTAAGATCAATCAGTGAAATCTAAATAGATAGAAAAAAATAAACTAATGCAATAAATAAATGCAAAATTAAAAACTTCTTCAACCCCAATTAAAAATCTAAAGAATTTTAATACCAATTAATAAATTATTTATCCAGTAGTTTTTGTAGAGGGTGTTTAGTTATAAATGCTCTTAATAAATATTTTTTTAAATATTTGTGGCACTATATTAGAATTTTATCTCAAATTAATATTCAAATGAGAGGGAATAAAAAGCAGGCTTTGCAGTGTGTCAAAGAAAGAATCGGGGCATGTTTTTTTTTTTTAAATAAAGGCATTTTTTTTAACAGTATACATATACCATCCTGTATTTTTAAAAGCATACAGAAAACTGAAAAGTATAATTTGTTCCACTGTAAAGTAATTTAAGCAAGCTTTACTGCAAAAGGATAGCAAAATATACTATTTAGTTCATAATTACTTTGACAAGAAAGTTTCAACTGTTACCACAACAATTTTATCAATACTGAACTAATAATAGCTTCAAAATCAATACATGCAAAATTTAATATTACTGCTGCATTAAAATAAAATACTTTGCACTATAAATTAATTAATAAATCCCTCATACTAATATATAATTGACATTTGTAATAGAGCTCAAAATTTACTTAGATAATTTTAAAGCAGAGTTTCAATAATCTGGAGTCAAAAGCACAATGAATATGCCATTTAACATTTTTGTACAAGTCATTTTGGAGGGCAATTCCTCAATTCATTATTTAAAAACCCAAAAATATTACTGTATTATTGACTGAAATCTATCATTTTAAAATCACATTAAAGAGATGAATCAATAATTGTGTAAACAAAACTATCTTAGTTGTACTACAAAACTCTATCTTACAACAATGTTTACAACATTTGCTGAAAATAATAAGTAAGCATATCACCCTTGAAATTATCATTATAAAAATTTGATAATGTAAAATTGTTAATCACTATAGAATTCATAGAATTTAATTCTTAATAAGAATTGAGAATGAATCTTGTGGGCAAGACTAAAAACCTAAATCATGTATTTAGTAAGTAGATGATCCCTAAATTGGAACAATAAAATTTTGCGATTCCTACTAACATTATTAATTAAATAAAAAGATATTAACAAATATATTTGAATCCTGCAATTCTTCAAATCTAATTCTTAAAAAAGTGGAAATTTTTTATTACACACAAAAACTAGGTATCTTAAGATAAATAGGGACAACATTTCAGGATATTAGGACAACTACAAAGCCCATAATAAGGTTTTCAAACTCCTACCTATTACTCTTCGAAATTTAAAAAAAAAGACCAGATGAAGGATTAAAATCATCTAAAACCTGTTAACTAAAGCATGGAGCCTAAAAACATCCCTAAACAAACTAAACTGATCGGAGTATAGCCTTTCCATAAAAATAACTGGTTAATTATATTATTCTTTTTTTGATCTCACTAATTATTTGGTATAATTTTGAAACTTCTTTCTAACTTAAATTTTGCTTCCCAAAGATATGTATGTGTTTCCATTTAATTTTTTTAAACAAAGATTCTAAACCTAAATATTAAGGGCAGTCAGTACAGAGAACCCTGTGTAAAATGATAGAACACATAAAATAAATTAAATGCCCACATTTCTTCATTATTATTAAGAAGACAGTCTTTGATAAAACCACTATGTGAGAAGAGGTTTAATGGTTCTACTCATTAATTTTGGAAAAGAAAACTGAGTGCAGTTGTATATACAATTTTCATACATACTTTACACTTATAAATACTTCATGATTGTTTTGAACAATTATTAAATTGAAGCTGAACTATTATTCGACATTTATGGTATTTTGCTGATATTTATTACAAAGATTGGACAGTTAGAAGGTTTAAGAACTCTTCCATGTACTTCAAGATGATACTTAAGTTAAAAATATTGTGATTTTGCTGTAAGAAGAAGTATTATTTTCAGAGTAAGTTTCTACAATAGGATTATTTTGGTGTGCATCACAGTATTGTTATATGTATAGAAATGAGTTTGGTCACAATAAATTCATTTCTTAATAAACTTGTTGGTTTTTTTTTCTTTTTATATTTTATCACGAATAATACAAAAATGCACTAATTCATAATGAAATAAACTAAACCTAAATTTGTAATAACCTGAATCATGTAAAATCATTGTCAGAATGGGCTTGACAGTTCCGTGTAGGCCATGGCTTTCTTCAAAAGTCTTTCCCGATTTGTCCCTTTTCCAGCAATTGACCTAAAACTTTGTCTTCAGTATGGCAAAACCTTTATCTAAGCAGTCCTTTAATGACTTTACGTATTCCTCTTGATTTGCAACAGAAATACCTCCGTGCTGTTCCATCCTCATTCATTCTGAGAAAATGTCCAGTTGAAATGTCATTCTATTAATTAAATTGAACTAACAGAAACCTCACCTTTTTGAGATTTTATACAGGTCAAAGCTAAATCTTTTTTTCTTTTCCGTTAAGTGGTATAACCTAAATCATCACTAAAGATAGTTCTAGGAATTTTTCTAAACCTAAATTTATATAAAATTATTTTCAACTTTGGGTTTGAAATGCTCCGTGTAAGACTTCATCAAAAGTTTCATCTAGGCAGTTGTATCACCTTTTTTTTTTATTAGATACTTCTTTTGATCTTCCACAGAAATGATTCAGTGCTGTTCCATCCACATGCCCAACCTATCTAATTCTATACATTTTAATTTATTTAAAAATAGTCTTACCTCTTTAGATTTTATTCAGGTCAAAGTTGCATCTTTTTTACTAGGAGTTATCAATTACAAAAAGGTAAAAATTTATTAAGAAAAAAAAGCAAACAGAAGTCAAAAAGTTTTTTTCCAAATAAAGGTCCACATTTCAGAAGCCTTTTATCATATCCTTGTATAGAAGAATTTTCGTCCTATCTATGAAATGGGATTTTAACAACGATCCTAAACCATAATAACAAGATTATGATAAAAAAATCTTTCATGGATTCTGCAATTAATATATTAATAATGTATCTCAGATCTAACTTAAGTAAAAAAAAAAATATTTACAGATTCAAATATAAAAGCCAGTTTAATCCAGAAATTTTTTTTGCAGGATAACCAATTTTTTTGACAAATTAATAATAAATATAAATACATTATTATAACAAAAACAATTTATCAATCTTAGAATAAAATCTAAAGTTCAAGAAAAAATAGATATCATTTGATTGTAGGAGATAATTGGAATAGAAAAACTAAAATAGTTTCATTTTGATATTTTCTAATTTATTATCGGGGTAACTAACTTTATTGTCAGTAATGTTAAATACCACATTTTCACCAAAATATAAGTTTCAAATTTGAATTATATATTCTTCATGCAATTTATAGAAAACCTAAAAAAAAAAAAGATTCATTCCAATATTTGTAATTAATGGAATAATTAACCTAATTGACAATATGCTAATTAACGCATTGCTAGTAAAAGAATAATTTCAAACAGTGAGTTCCTCGTGAGATTATAAGGAAATCTAAAATAGTTTCATTTCGATATTTTGTATTTATCAGGCCAATTAGGCTGACAATAAATAAAATTACATGTTTCAAGTTCTACGAAATTGAGAGGTATTGTGGAACCCTGAAATGGCAAGTTCATTTAGTCAAACCAGCTGTTGGTTGTAAACCAATTAGCATTAACCAAAAAATATTATTTTTAAAAATCTCAATAAATTTAAAATTAATAAAATTATAAATACCATAATATTTGTATTTTGCAAAACTTTAGCTGTCTTAAAAATTTCTAACTAATAAAGAAAATAAATTATAAGCTTAAAAAAATTTATTATAAAAGAATATTACAATCTAAACACACTTTCGTCAACTAATATGATCAACAAGTTGTTTTAAATGTGTTTGAACATTTTCAGACTCGGTTTGAATTAAGTCACTTGATTTACCAGAAAGTGGAGGAGCACAAAAACCTTTTCTAATGGGTACATTACTACTTAGAGCTTCAATCCAGTTTTCAGTTTCATAGTATTTCAGAAGAATATCAAATACTGTAAAAAAAAAAGATAGGCATATACAATATTTTTATATTTCCAATAAGCTTCCTGCTTTAAAAGAAAAATAATACTAAAAAAATCTAATATATGATTATGTAGGTTGTAGTATCACACATTAAAATAAAACTAATACATAAAATGTTTGCAGATTAAAATAAACTAATACTTATAAAGATTTAAGTCCTTATAAAACAAAGTATAGCCAATTTTCAGTTTTATAATATTTAAAAAGACATTATTTAAGAAAGTGGATAACTTTAAAATTTAAAAAAATATTTTTCCAATTTACTTTTCAAAAAACTTTAGGATTTCAACAATAATTACAAACAAATATAAAAAAAAACTTTAAAAAAACTGATAATAATGCCTTAAAAATGCTTGCATCATTCTGACCCATGACAATGTAATCTGATTATATTTTACCTAGAAGTAAATTTAAAGCTTCAAGCATTATGTTCGATGGCAAATTTGCAAGAACTTATGCTTTTTTAATATTAAATAACATGAGAGAAAAAGCTGTTAGTTGAACAAGGTCAGTCTCATTAAATTTTGAAAAATTCAAGGTGCACAATTCTGAAGCTCCAAATGTTTAAATTTAACTATCGTCAGTATGACAGTTATTTATCCCAGAAAGAAAAATATTAATTACTAAGCTAAATATATTACAATGAATTTTTCAATTAGGTTAACAAGAGGGCAATTAAAACAGCACAAGTCAGTACAATCTGTATTTGAACTGTAGCACCAAAAATGCAATGAAAATAAATGTCTATAAATTAAACTTATTAGTTAAAATGTTATTTAAAATGTCCTTATTGCAATGCATTTAAACTAGTATAAGATTTTTCTATGCATTAAAAAATAAGTTTAATAGACTTATCAGTTGATTAAAAAAAGGTTTTAGAATAAAAACAAAACTCAATTATATTTCACTGGCTGACTAATTTGCACTTAAATATTTTAAATTTAATTTACTTAAAATATTTAATATTTTAATTATCTTCAAATTGTGCAAAATTTTATTCCATAACATTATATAAAAATAAATTTTTTAATGAATTAGATAATAGTGGCTATAGAATTTTCAGCAATGAAGGAAAACTACAAAACCAAATTTAACAACTATTACCAAAAAAAAGATAGTAATTTTGGATAACTAATTTTTCGAAATAAAGAAATTTACGAACAAACATAAAATTTTCTTTGTTTTAATTAGTGTGAAATCTTTTTGAATCAATTTCCACTATAAAAACTTTAGAGAACAAATATACACAGAAACTAAGACTACTAAAAAAATTGAGATTCAATTTAATAAAAGTGAACGTTTTACCTTGATTAACAGTGAGAACAGTGGTTCCAGGATTAGTTGAACACGGAACTAAATATTCAGTGATAGGTAAACGAACAGTATGAATGTTGTAGTCCTTAGCATGATTAAGACTTAGATCCTAATAAAAATATTTAATAAAATTAATGATTGTTTCGGATTTTATGCAAAATTACCAATAAATAAAATATATTTGATTTGAAAAAAAACTGCGCAATCATTAAAAATGATACGGGTAGGTACTTTATTTATGTCATACTACAGGGTGCATAGCCAAATATTTCAACAAAAAATAAGTACTTTTTAAGCACTCAAAAAATATTTTTAAGCACTACATACATTTACAAAATGCAAAATAATTTTCAAAGACTTTACATGATAAAATAACTAGTTTCTGACAAGGAATTCTTTTCTTGATTATATTTGCCATTATATAATGATCCAAGAGATTTTTCAGTTCGATATCAGAGGCTGGAAAATAAAGCTTGAAATTGAGAATATCTTGCAAAATGCAGCAGCGTTGCACATGAAAGTACAATAATCTCACCGAACCCAGCTCAGTAGAAACACATGCGAACCAGCAAATATTTCATCAAACATGTAAAAGGCGGTACGCCGAAATAGATCGTGGTTGATTGAATTGGGAAAATGTTGAATAGACCAATGTGAAAAGCACACTCTTACATATTACATGGCGAAAATCGAGATAGAAAAAAAATGTCGTTTTCGAAAAGAGAAAATTAAGCACTTTTTAAAAACATCCGATTAAAAAAGCACCTTTAAGGGCGTTTAAAAAACGAAAATAAAAAATAAGCATTTTTTAAAAACGCTAAGCACCATGTACTAAAGCTGCACAATGAGTTATTGGCAACGGTCTGGGAAACATGCTTGAGGATGATTCTCTGCAGAGGAGATCTCATTTGGGGGATCTCATTTCATCTCTTCAATTTACACATAGATCTGAAAAAGGAAGGAAATTTTCTCCCGATCTCTGAACTCATGGTACTGCTCAGCAACTGACTTTTAAATCAACAGATTATACAAGCACATACATCGCTAGTACTCGATGGGTCTCAGCAGAGTGAAGGATTAGACCCGAGTTTGATTATCTAACTATTGGGAAACTACAGCCCAAAATAATACCATAAATAATAATTATTATTTTCAATGAATAATGATGACTCAATTTGTTAGTATAATTTTACATTTATTCACAATAAAATATTTTTGCTTTAACTATTTACTACAATAAATTTACTTCAATTGGATTAACCTGTTCATTTTAAAAAACAATTAAATATTTAGAAGGCAATACTATTCTTAATTAATGAGGCTTGTTTATAATATTCAGTCACTATTAATAAATTTCTCCAATTTTTTTTAAAGGATATTTTTTCCAGATATACTTTTATTCATAAATATTGAAAAATTAAATTAATACCAATACAGGTACTCAATGAATAATAACCATAATACCTAGAACCATAAATTAACTTTTGGAATATATTTTTAAATAAGTACATAAAATCATAACTTAATTTTTAGAAATATTTATTTTAATAACATTATTTACAATTATTACTTAAAACTTTTACAGCAATAAAATTTAACAAGAATTTCTTTATTAGCAGTTTTGCCTCCTTTAAAATAAAATTTAATTAACCTCAAATGAAATGCTATAATATTTTTTTTTATAGAACTCTTATTTTAAGTCCTTCATTGAGGTTAAATTTGTGATATAAAATTAAAAAAACTTCCAAAAATTAAGAAGCGAAGAAGAAAGCAGAATAAAATTGAAAAAGTAACAATTGTTAAGTACAGAAAAAAATGTAGAGAAATTTTTATTTTGAATGCGCATATGGTCAGCATTTATAATACAGTGGAGCCCGTTTAAGAAGTTCCCACTTAAAAAGTTTTCCAGTTTAAAAAGTTATTTTTCCGTTTTAATAAAATTTCACGCGCTTCCAATTTTCTTCATTCTTTTTATACTTTATATTTAAAATTTCTGATCTAGTTTTACCTTTCTGTGACAAAAAAAGATACTAACTGTGATACTATAAAGAACTATGCAAAGATACTATAAAGAGCTATGTAAAATTAACAAAGATCACAGGCCTTCCTTGCTCCTCCATTACACAAAAGGAGATTCATCGGGAACAGGTGTGAGCAAAGGAATGTGAACCTTTAGATGAACAATGAAACTGATAAGAATATGGGAAATCACTTGGACATTGTTTCCACTGTAAATGAAAATTGGACAACCTGATGACGCATGCACTGCACTGCTGCCCCTACCCCTTTAGTGACTGATGCGAAAGATACATCAAAAATTTTAGCAGCATTTCGTTGGAAATTTTCTTAGTGTGAAGGTTCGTTTTGATTTAATCATAAATATCGTAGAGAAAAAAAATTATTTTTGTTGAAAATGTCCTGCAAAGGCATTAAACGTAAAACACTATCTATTGAGGATAAAGTCAAAATTTTAAAAGCTGAATTGAACGTTGATTTCATGCCTTCAAATGGATGGATTGATCGGATGAAAAAACGAGCTGGATTAATTTTCAAAACACTTAAAGGAGATTGTAACAGCGTTGATTAATACGAAGCTGAAGAATGGAAAGTTAAATTACCTGAACTTACTTCAGGTTATCAACCAAAGGACATTTTTAACACCGAGGAATGTGGACTGTTTTTTTTAATCTTTTACCCGAGAAAACTTATGCAGTTAAAGGTAAACGCTGCCATGTAGGAAAAAACAGTAAAAAACATTTGACAATTTTCGATGGAGCTAGTATAAATGGTACAGAAAAGTTACCGATTTTAGCGATTGGTAAAGCGAAAATTTTTTGTATTTTTAACTTTCAACTATTTAAGAAGTTTTCCTCATTCATTTCTTTCCACTCCCTTGAAAAACTTTTGAATCGGGTTCCACTGTATATTAAAAAAAAATCACAAATTTAAATGCTATATGGAGGTAGATAAAGTAAAAATTTGAAATACTAATACCTTTTTAACAGTTCCATCAACAATTCCTCCTATCACATAAATCTTATTCTTGTCCAATGTTTCTAAGACATTTTCAGAATCAGGAGACAAATAAATTAAATCCTTTTGTTCAAATAAGTTTTCAGGCTCTTCTGGGGTGATATCAACCTAAATAAATTTTGCTTTTATTTACAAATAAATATATATCTTCAAATTTAAATCACTTATAAAAGCACAATTAGAAATATGAATCTAAAAGTACAAAATTGTCAATGTAGTAAGTTGGATTTTTAAAAAAAAGTATTTCGTATTTCATTTGAAATTAAGATATTTTAATTATAAATGTTTTATAAAAATATTAATTGCATAGATGGTTTTATGAATAATTCCTAATAAATATTTTGGTAAAATTTTGGTGATGTACATATATATGATTCTGCGATGCAAATTTCAAGTTCTAATAATTATATTTATGTATATTTAGTAAAATAGGCCTTTAAATTAAGCCACTGAAATATTGATAAAACTATGCGTTAAAAAGTTAAGAGGCTTTGTGTTAAAGAATACAAATAAAAGATAAACAAATTTAAAAATTAGAAAAAGTGAAAATCATTAAGAATAATAAAACAAAATTCTCAATTTTCAGAAACTTTGGAACAGTTTTATTGGTTCTGGTTTGATTGTTCTGCTTAAAATGCACCATCATATTCTCAATTTCTAAATTCAAATTTCATATGAATTTTTATTTGAAAGAAAAAGTTAAAATAAAGAATTTTGTTGGTGAAGAGTTGAAAAATATTTAGCATTAAAATAAAAAGTTTGCTATCGAAACATTTAAATTCCTCAGACAATTATTTGTTGATGACAAAAAGAAAAGAATGGAATACATCAACTTTTCTTTTAAGATTAAAGCCGATTAACCTTATTTGTCTGCTCTCAAACAGTTTTGTCAGATCATCTTGAGGCAAGCTTGAAAAAATTCCAAGTTGAGGAACTAACCCATTCTTTCTTTCACTTATTGTTTTCAGCAGTAGTATAGAATTTCAAAATTACAAAAACAAAAAATTCAAAGTATCAAAAATTTAGTGCAGCTCAGTAAAGAAATTCCTGTGCAATTCAAAATTAATCTTTTTATTCTACTATGGTGATACAGCAGTCATTTTTATTTTGTAGTAAAATTTTTATCTAGCGAAATTTAGTTTTAAATTAGAAATAAAATTTTACATAAAATTCAAGATACTACAGAAAGTTCTCACAGTGCTAACCCCAATCATAAACATTTCTTATCTATTGAATAATTAATGTATTTGTTTGTTAATAACAGTAAAATAACATAAATCAGTATGTCATGTATCTGGCAACTATGGATACAAATGAAATGAAGTGAAAAGTTAACTAACAATGATTCAGGCTTGATGTCCACGTAAATATTAAGTTTAATAATTGGGGTTATGTCCATTCTCTGCATTGGTCTCACCAGTATAAAACTGTATTTAAAAAAATTTAAACATCAAATTCAAATTTAATTAAATGAAGGCAAAAGATTGAAAAAAATGCATAAAAAAGAAAAAGTTTTAAAAAGAAATTTGAATTCTTAAAACAATGGGAAAAAAAACTATTCTGTGAGCAATCAGTCAATTACTTCATCACATTTCTTAACAGCAAAGTCTTTTGGTACTTTTTGGTTAGCCAAGAGAATTCAACTATTTTTTGTCATTTTTAGGTGTTAAAAAATAAATAAGATAAAATAAAAAGTAGACAGAGGTCTACATTTTTCTGGCCACTTTTTGCTTGCGACCGGATGTTTAAAAAATATCAGTCTTTCACAGGATGGAGTACAAAGAAAAGCCTTGGCTCACTGTAGGTTATACGAGTGCAAGGAAATTCACTTTATTTTCATGTGTTAAAAAATTAAAATTCAAAAAAAACTTGGCGGGTGTCTGCATTTTTTGGCGACCTTTCACTCACATCCATCCACGAAAGCCTTGGCTCATTCCCAACAATCGTACAACTGATAATGATTACTCTGAATGCAGTAATTAACAATATTTTTTTTTGCACAAATGTTGCTGTGAGGGCTGAAAATTTTCTAAATTTACAGCAAAATTTTAAACCTAGACAAGAATTGATACATTATATAATAAATAGATCAACAGGTTAGATCAACAATTATCTTAAAAAAATAGAAAGTTAGAAACAAAGTTTCAAACAAATTTACTTCTTACTATTAAAACTATTAATAAAAGCATATCTGACAATAAAAACCTCAGTTCAATGAAATTAACTAAGAACTTTACTAAAATTAATTAGTGAATAGTCCCCTAATAAGCCACATTGAAAAAACTTAATTGCCAGTCTGTGACTTAAATCTTTATTAATCGAAGAAATGTATGTTTTATTTGGCAGTTTTTTAAGCATTTTAAAAGCATAACAGCAACTTTTTGGCAATGTAGTTAAATTTCAACAGTAACAGAAATATAATTTTTAAAAAAAAACAACAGAAAATTATAATAAATAATTAGAAAAGGAAAATTTTAGATCCAAGGAAGAATCTAATGCTTGAAAATATTTTAAAAACAGCAGTATCCTAAATTAAATAGGCAGAAACACAAAACTTACTACGTAGGATGAAAAACCATCATTTTTAGCTAGGCAGATCTGATAGAGCTTATCAGATGTTTCCAAATTGCAAAAGTATAAGTGAAGAGGAGTGAAACTATGCCTGTTAGATCCATAAAGCCTACGAAGCTGGCTGGCTAATTGCCCTAGTTCCTAATATCAGAGAAAAACACAAACAACTTTATTTCAAATCATTTTCAGGAAATCAATCTATTATCAAAATATGTTTTTTTTTCACATCTAAGTAATTTAAAATGTGAACACTATAATAACAATTATTAAATAGCTAATGTAACTGCGGATTGTAATACGCCTAGTTAAAATCTAACAATATCTTATAAGAACTGAAAACAAATATTGTATGTTGGAATAGAATGTCTTATTTAAAACATTACTATTTTAATCATTTTTATCAAAATAAAAGTAATGTTTTTTCTTTTTTGCAGAAACAATACTAAATTTTTTTTGTTAAAAAATCTATAGACCGAAAAAATATAAATGCTTACAAAAAGCAATAGGAAATATCTACAAAATAGGGATAAAACAATAGTAAATCAATATATAATTGTAAAACCAAATCAATTTCACAATCAATGAAATTTAAGGCTTGATTTTCTAAACAAACTTTAGGGTGCGATAGAACTCTTGCCTCCCAACGAGATGATCCTGGTTCGAAAACCAGGGATTGCTGATCGATACGAACTCCGCACCCAGCATGCAACGACTACAGTGCTAATGTAAAATATCCTCAGTTGTATACGAATCATGGGTAAGAGTCCCCTTGCCGTTAGGCAAATCATCGGAAGTTTTCGTGTTTTTCTCTCCATCGAAAGCAAATGCAAGGCAGTTCCATTAAAAAGTCCTCCATGAAGGCAAATTTCTTCTAATACTTAATACAGAAGTTCCTTTGTCTTCCAGATTGTATTCAAATTTACGAAGCTGCAGAGTTGAACATTGGTATTTGTAAACTCAAAATTGGGTCAGCTGTTTAACAAAGGTGATTAAAAAATTTTAGGATGGATAAAAAAAAATGTCAACTTCTAACAAATTATCCCCATTTACAGTTACTCTTTTCTTTCCCACATGAGTACATTTTGCATACTCTTTTGGTACTAGTATGTGACAATCATATCATTACATCAAAAGTTTTAAAAGTATTTATTTTTTTAATTTGTGCACTGTACAACGGTTGGCGCACATGCGCGTCTGCGCCCCAACCGGCAGAAGATTTTGTAACTTCAACAATGACAGACGGCTCTCATGTAGCTTCGTCTAATTAAAAATAAAACTTCTGAAATCGCATTTAGCGATAATTAAAATAAATAAAAAATAAATCATCTCTTTTTTTAAAGAGTGGTCCGTCTTATAAATTTTTCTCTTCATCTGGCTCCGTCGAACTTCGGAGTTTGAATCAGAACAATGGCTAAGCCAATGGACATCATAAATAGATCACGAACTTCATTTAAAGGCAAAATTACCAGTCTTGAAAACTTTCTACAAATTGATGACCTGCATGACATCACGGAGTTAAATGTCAAACTTAGAAGTGTAGAAGTCTTAAAAAATAGAAGTGAGTCATTGCGACAAGAATACTACAACTTGGACATTCAACCTGGTGATATTGACACCATCGATACTGATTTGAATCAGTGTGATGAACGGTTGGATAATTTAGAGGTAGGAATTTTAAAATTAATAAATTCTAATAAACTATTGAACTCTGATTCTAATAA